GAAGTTCAGGGGTGCCCTGGCGGGGAGAGGCGTCCCGGGCGGGGACGCGAACAGGTTCGCGCGGCTCGGGCCCCCTTCGCCCGCGCCCCAGGACCCGCCCCCGCGGCGGAGCGGCTTCTGTTTACTTTCGATCGAGTTTTTCCTGCTCGAGGCAGGTGCCCAGGGCGGCTCGGGGCGGGCAGTTACGCACGGCGCCCCGCGCCCCTCTCCCCGCGCTGCCTGCCCCCGGGAAGGACGCGTCGGGCGGCCGGGGGCGAGCGGCGGCCGCGGCGTCTCCAGGCGCGCTCACGGGCGTCCCGTCTGTGCCCAGGTGATGACGGCGGCGGCATGGAGTTCCCGGAGCACGGCGGGCGGCTGCTGGGCCGCCTGAGGCAGCAGCGCGAGCTTGGCTTCCTGTGCGACTGCACCGTGCTGGTGGGCGACGCGCGCTTCCCGGCCCACCGCGCCGTGCTGGCCGCGTGCAGCGTCTACTTCCATCTCTTCTACAGGGACCGACCCGCAGGCAGCCGCGACACGGTGCGGCTCAACGGCGACATCGTCACGGCGCCCGCCTTCGGCCGTCTGCTGGACTTCATGTACGAGGGCCGCCTGGACCTGCGCAGCCTGCCTGTCGAGGACGTTCTGGCCGCCGCCAGCTACCTGCACATGTACGACATCGTCCAGGTCTGCAAGGGCCGGCTCAGGGAGAAGGACCGCGCTCTGCATCCGCAGACGCCCGCTCCTGGGGCAGAGCCGCCTGGCCAGCCCCCGTGCCCCCTGCCCGCCTGGACCCCTGAGCTCTGCCCAGCTGCCCAGAAGGCCAGGCTCCGTCGGGCTGGGGTCAAGGCTGCCCTCTCTCCGGGAGCACCGGCGCCTTGTTCCTGGCAGGCTCCAGGAGAGTCAGACCTGGCCCTGGACCTGTCGCTGAAGCCTGGCCTGAGGAGGAAGTCAGTCCACCCACCCTGCATCCTCCAGACGCCCCCCAGCAGCCAGATGCAGCCAGGGGCCCAGCCACTAGTGAAGGATGAGCCAGACTCACTGTCGGAACAGGAGGACAGCAGTGGTCCTCGGAGCCCCCACAGCTCCCTGCAGCCGCCCTGTGTTCCCTCGGCCACGTGCCTGGCAGGGGGCTTGGAGCCGCCGCCTGTCAGCGTGGTGGGCAGCGGGGAGCTGCAGCTGGATGCAGAGCGGGGAGTGAGCGGGGTGGAGCTGGGGCCTGGCGGGCACCTCTGCATGTGCCCACTGTGCAGCAGGCTGTTCCCCAGCGCCCACGTGCTGCAGCTGCACCTCAGTGCCCACTTCCGTGAGCGGGACGGCGCCCGGGCCCGGCTCTCGCCCGACGGCGCCGTGCCCACCTGCCCGCTCTGCCGGAAGACCTTCTCCTGCACGTACACGCTGAAGAGACACGAGCGCACGCACTCTGGCGAGAAGCCCTACACGTGCGTGCAGTGCGGCAAGAGCTTCCAGTACTCGCATAACCTGAGCCGCCACGCCGTGGTGCACACGCGCGAGAAGCCGCACGCCTGCCGCTGGTGTGAGCGCCGCTTCACGCAGTCCGGGGACCTCTACCGCCACGTCCGCAAGTTCCACTGTGGCCTGGTCAAGTCCCTGCTGGTGTGACGCCTCCCTGTGGGGCTGGGGGTGGGCGGGAGGGGCAAGACCTCCCCAGAGGGACACTGGGATGGAGGGTGAGGGACCCAGAGCTCAGCCCTGTGGAAGCCCCTGCGGCTGGACTTGCCCAGCAGAAAGAACCCTGCTGCTCCTGGAACATGGCCTCAGATTCAGGATGACTCAGAGGGATGCGGGCAACCCTCCCCCATACCTTGCCCTCCCACCCTCCAACTTACTCCTGCCCCCAGGCTATGCCCTGACCATGACACTGTCTTCCTCTCCGTCCCCTCCAGCCGGTTCCGAGGGGTGTCCGAAGGGGTCTTGGGGTGAGGGCGTGTTTGTCCTCCCTCCAGGGGCTTCCCAGACCACCTCACTTGCACACTTGGGTACCCTCGTGAGCCTGGCACCGCACTTGGTGCAGGATGCGTGCATCACAGAAGTTGTCGGTGTGAGTCCCTGACGGGCACTGTGAGTGCCAGCGGGGACCATCAGGGCACAGCTGGTGTTGCAGAGGGGTGCAGACCCCAGCAGGGACCCCAGGGTGGTGGGGCAGAACCAGCTGGAAGCCAAGTGGCTCTGGAGTTACCGGCGCTGGGTTAGGGGTGGGTCCCCCGAGCTTTCCATCCTGACCGCACTGTAACTCAGGGCAGAGAAAGTCGGCATTTGGAAACGATTCTCTAGATGCACAAAGAGCATCCTGGTGGTTGCCAGCTGTCTGCCCGTGGGTGATGGGTCGTGCTGCTTCCCTGCCTGCACACAGGGGCCAGGGCGCCTCTCAGCATCCCCAGGGTGGGGCCGAAGGGGCCTGGGAATGCAGCCACTCTCCTGGAGTATCACAAGCCACCACTGGGCCATGGTAGGGCTGACCCTGAAGGTCCTTCTCTTGCTCCGGGTCTCCCTGGAGCTACTGGTCATTTCCAGAGCACTGAGCAGGGGGCCAAAGGCTGCTCCCTTTACAAGCAGTGGTGTTTGCAGGTTTCCCTGCCTTAGAGTGGGGTGCAGGTGAAAGCAGCCACCGTAGGGGGAGGGCAGGTGGCTGCTGGCCTGGGGTCACAGCCCCGCACCTTCAGCCACAGCCCTGGGAGGCTGACGCTCCTAGACAGTGAGGAGCTGCTGTCTTTGCTGTTGGCTGGGTCACCCGGCCTCGCCCGCCCACTCACTGGGCACATCCTGCTCCCGGAAGCTCAGTAGTTATGGCAGGGGAGTGGGCAGAGGGGGGCTGCCCCAGCTTCTGGGTGTCCCGAAGGTGGCAGAGCTGCCTGGACTCGTGGATCCCCAGCCCCTGGGGGCTATTTCTGCTGTAACTGGAAGTGACGCTGAGGACAGAGTCCACCAAGTTTAAGTTATTTTCTCTTCTGACAACACTTGATGTCATATTTATTCGTCTGTCCTGTCTGGAGTCAAGGGACCGTGGGCCTTCACAGTGGGTGGACAGACAGACGGGCTCGTCTCCCTGAGCGCCATGGCTCCCCTGGTCTGTGTGCGGCCAGCCTCATTGCACAGCGCCTCTTCGTGATGCTCAGGCCTCAGAGGCCCTGGGCTGCCTGCGGACCAGAGAGAGACCTGGGTGAAGGGGACTCCCCGCTTCTGGTTGTCCTGGCCCCGGCCCTCCACCTCCAGAAGGGCTGGTGGGGCCTCAGGCTTGGCATGATCGGTTGTCCGTGTGTGTGTGTGCGTTATCCAGCATATGGCAGGGCCTGAGCGGAGCCGGCAGGGATGGGCAGCCGTGCCGCCCACCCCCACAGGCAGCGGGGAGATGTGGCAGCAGCCCTGGTTTTCCCCATGGGGTTTCCAGGGGGGAAGAAACTTACTTTCCTGGGGCAGGAAGTCTGCCCTGAGTTATCAACACTGGATTCATTGTCTTCTGCAAACAGTTACTGTGAAGTTAACATAAAGAGAAGTGGTCAGTTGTTAATTCGGTAACCGACACAGTTCAGAGAAAAAATATATATGTGTTTAAGACACTAATTGTGTGGGAGCGTGTAGCAGAGGTGTGTAGACACATTTCTGGTGGAGCCTGCCATGTAGGGTCCTCCTGGGCCGGCCCAGCCCCCTGCCCCTCAGTCTCCTGCTGCTCTGCCCTTGGGGTGGGGGGCGGGCCCAGGTGACCCAGAGGACAGTCGTTCGAGCTTGGCGTCTGCCGGGAGGTTTTCTTTGCACCCACCTGCCTGGAGTGACAGTTTGGAAATGAGTCTTCCTGTGTTCACATTGCCTCCTAATGATGTTAGTGGTAATAAAGCCCCTGCAGTGAGGATGGCCCTTGGATACTGGGGCCGGGAGTGTGTGCATCTCTGAGTGTGTGCGGGCACGGCTGGGCTGGCTGGGGCAGGGGGGTCCCAGGTGGGCAGTGGGAACTCTGTCCCAGATGCCACCACCTGCTGTGTCCTGTGGGGGAGTGGGAGGCCTGCAGACAGGTGGCACACCCTCTTTGCCCAGGGTTCCCCCCAACCCCTGACCCTGATTTGGGGGAGGGGAGTCTCGGGGAGGCAGGCTGGGACCAGGCGGGAGGCCTCCTGGCTTCTTGCCCTGGTTAGGGAGACCCTGCTCAGCAGCCACAGGCCCTGGGACTTGAACCTGAGGCTTCCTGATCCTGTGGTCCTGGGTCCTGACCTCCTCTCTTACAGAGGCAACCCCAGCTCCCCTGCCCGCCAACTGCCCTCCCGCCACACCCACCCTTTGCCCTCTCCCCTCCCCCCACACCTCATTTGGACCCCACCTCCCTCAGGGTGGGACTGGGCCCCCAGAGGCCTGGGTTCCAGCAAGAGGAGGGCAAGGCTTGGAGGGGTTGTGTCCCTCCAGCCCCCACCCTCCCCGTGGGGTCCTGGCTGACCTCTGGAGGGTGTCAGGCTGGGCCAGTGTCAGGGCTGACAGGCCCTATGGCTGGTTGTTCCAGCTCCCTCCCGCCCTTGCATGGGGGCATGGAACTGGTGGCTCCTGAGCCCTCCCCTGAGCTGTGCCTTCCTCACCAGGCCCGGGGTAGATGGACAGACCGCCTCATGTGTCCCAAGCCTCGTCCTCACCAGAGCTCCCTCCAAGGCGAGGAAGAACCCAGGCAAACCCTGAGGGCAAGGTCGGGGGGCGCACCTGCCCAGGGGTCCCTGGTGGTTGGACCTAGCAGAGCTGTGCTGAAAGGGCCATTGGTTCTTGAGCCAACCTTTGAGACTCTCCCAGTCCTGACTCCAAATGCAAGCACTTGCTTCTGGGAGGGAAGGCCTGGCACCTCCCCTCCCCCGACCGGCCTGCCTTCCACGGAGCCTTCCTCCTGGACCGGAGCCACTGTCCTGCAGGGAGGCCCTGTCATGTTCCCAGTTGGGCCCATGACTCAGCCTGGGGCCTCCTCAGAACGCGGGAGGAGGCTGTTGCCATACCAACCAGGAGGGGCCGAGGGCCTTGGCAAGGTCCCTTGGGCAGAGGGGCCAACCAGGGGAGGGGGCTGCCAGGGGCCATCCCATCCGCCCAGCTCTGCCAAGCTGTGCTCACACTTGGAGCACTGAAGCTGTCAGCCGTGTTCCTCGCAGGCTGGAAGCCCTGGGGCAGTTGGGAAGAGCCCGCAGGGTGTGCAGAGGGCCGGACTTGGGGGCAGCAGGGCTCCCAGAGGCTCCCTGGCAGGGTGAGATGGCAGGGGCCTCCAGGTGGACAGCAAGGAGATGGCACCCCAGGCCGAGGGCCGGCCACTGCAAAGGTGGCAGGATGAGAGGTCATGTGTGAGCAGGTGCGGGTGGGTGATGGCTGGGGGCTCTGGCGAAGCTGGTGGCTTGGAAGCAGGGAGAAGCCAGAGCAGCCCTGGCCAGCCTCAGGCCTCCCTCCCCCACCTCCTCTGCCCCTTGCCCTGGGGTCAGCAAGCTGCCCACCCTAACACACACCTGGTTTCGCCCCCTCCCGGTGTTCATAACTGGCCCCACAGCCTTCCCTGGTGAGGGAGTTTCACCCTATACACACCCCAAGGAGCCTTAGGACAGAACGGGCGCAGAAACAGCTCCAGGCCTGCCCTCCCAGCTTGGCGGGGGAGCACCAAGCCTTACAGCCTCAGCCCTTCCCCTCTGGGCTTCTCTTCCCACCTCAGTCCTTTGTTCCCTTCTAATCAACCCAGGCCCTGCACTGTCATTGTCACTGTCATCGTCACTCTACTTCCACCACACGTCCCCCCTCCCCCCCCCCCCCCCCGGTCACGCTCTTTCTGGTAGACCTCCACAGAAACTGACTCCTAAATCCAGGTCCATTCCCAAGCTGAGGACCTAGTGCTGGACCACCTGTGCACTGGGAGGTGGTGGGAGAGAGGCTGATCTCCACCTTGTGGAGCTTCAGTGTCTGCTCCTCCTCCCCCGTAGCCCTCCAGTTCCGGGGGGTTCCTCAGCTCCACTGCACCTCATCCTCCTCCTCCACCCCTCTAGATACAGAAGAACACACATCTCTGTCTCTGTGAAGGGAACAGAGGTCTCCGCCCCTCCCACCCACACCCACCTGAACTCCCCAGCACCAGCCTGGAGAGAAGCCCTCCTTTGCCAGTCATGGTAACCTGCAGGGAGGGCCACGTGTCCCCCTCCCACAATCTCCTGTCCCTCTCCATGTGTCCCCAGGTCATGTGCTCTCCCGCCTCAGTGTTCTCCCCTGTAAAATGGGAATGATGGTGGACTGGCACTGACGGTGAGTGGGGTAATGTCCAGCAGGCACACAGGCAGTGGCCTCTAAGTGCCGGCAGTGCTGCTGCTGCTGATGAACAGCACGCTGCCCGCCTGCCCTGGGGCCATCCCCGGGTCAGAAGGGCGCCCAGGGTAGAGGGCTTTGGCAACAGTGCCCTGTAGGGCAGGCCGAGCCCACCCCCGCAGGGAGTATTGGCTGTGCTGTGTTGTGGACGGGGGCAGAGCGACGCTGTTGGGCCTGGGCCTCCTCAGGGAGCCGCCTGCCCACCTGCCCAGGGGGCGTCCTCCCTCCCCTCCGCTCCTGCAGCTGTCCCTGGCCAGCACCCAGCAGCTTCTGCAGGGCGGTGGACTGCACCCAGCAGCCTAGGAGTCCGGGGACAGCGGGCTGGAGGGCTGGCAGGTCCAGACTGCGGGGCTGGGGGTGGCCAAAAGTGCACTGCTGCCTCCCCAGCTGCGAGGAAGTGG